CTGTTACATTTTTATCAGAGTAATTAGTCTGAAATTATAGTACAATTTTTCAATTTGTTGGATTAGTTAATACTCTTGACAAACTTATAGTTTATATCTTATCATTTGACATTTTACAATGTTTGAATGACTTTCGAAACTTAGTTCCAAAAAGTTCCACGAGGTAATTAGCTAAAGTTTTTTGTTGTTGTCTTCTTTGATGTTTCTTCTTTCGAAAAAACCTGCCCCATTTTGTCCGTATTGCAAAAGCGGACTAAATATACCGAAAAACAAAAATTATGTTTTTTTCATGTTTTTGCATTATTTTGTAATTAATTCGCGTTATTTTGTAATATTACTTCGGAAATATAATTTGCTTTACATTTTTAATATAAAATTACGAAAATTATTATCTTTTCATTGCTATATTTAATTATTTAAACGTACTATTTAATTTTTTTTATTCCTGCTCGCCATATTTCAGCCGCCATTTTGCTTTTTTGGGTATTTTCAGTGTATTTCAAAATTTCAACTATGAATTCAATTTACCTGCACATAAAACCCCCCAAATTTTAAAACAAATTTTATCGAAATACTAATTTTGGCCACGAAACCTTGGATGCCGGCCCACTGTGCACTGTACTATTTATTCATTTAATCCTAATATATAATTTTGTTTCTTACAATACTTTCAAAGACGCTAGTCCATCCAGTCCGTGAGGTCCAATAAAGCTAATTTCATTTCTGTACAGCATTCTGGAAAAAAAGAAAGAGACGCAAATATTTAAAAGTCTAAAAATATAAAAGTACCATCTCCTATAAACAACTTTGAAAAAAAATTAAGTTAGAGTCAAAATTGAAAGGTTTGTCGTAAACTTAGAACATACAAGACATAATTTCCTATAAGGTATTAAGATGTTGAAATATCCCTTCATGTTAGCATATTATTATCGGAGAATTAACAATATGTTTTTTTCCTTTCTATGATATTTTATGTTGTTCTATGATTTTCTTTTCTATGATTTGGTGAGATTTGAATAGAGTTTAAATTAAATCAGAAAACAGAATAGTAAACTAAAAATTTATTTGGAATTTTAATTTATTAAAATCTATTTTAAATGAATCAGTGTATATTGAACTTTATTTACAAAACACCTATTATAAATTTGAATTTATTTGAAAAATAATCATTATAAATTAAAAATTTGTTTGAAAACTATTTTACGCATTAAAATTGAATTTAAATATATTATAAATTAAAAATCAATTTAAAAACATTATAGATTAAAATTTAAAGAAAGTGATTTTTATTCATTGAAATTTATTATAAGTATAAATATTAATAAATTAAATTTAAAAATTTATATTCAAAATTATTTTTGCAATATAATAATTTTATAATATAATATAATATTATGCAATATAATATTATCATAATTATAATGCTTTACTATTCAGGTAGAACCCTTAATAGTCAGTTCAAATTTGATAAATCGTTTTAGCAGTTTATAATTTATATAAACTTTTCTAAACTGAAGAACATTACTGAGAAACTTAAATTATGGAAAAAAACGCATAGTATAATTATTATTATACTATCGTAATAACACATTTACGGCAGAACATTTAATAGTGTTCAGTTCAAATTTCATAAAACTATTTGACAGTTTTATAAGTTACACTAATTTGTCTAAACTGAAGCAAGATTAACTGCGACTTAAACACATAAGACAGTGATTCTCAACCCTTTTTTTTTTTTGTTGCGGCACACTTTTAACAATTTCGAAATTGGACGGCACACAATGCAAAAAATTAGATTAAAAGTTGTTTAATTACCTATTTTACACTGTGTTAAATAGTTTGAGATAATAATTTTGAATGTGAAATAAAATAATATGTACTACAAAAGCACATTTATTAAGGGATTAATTATTTCTTTCGACCAATTTTTTTTAGTTAGTAACAGTTATTTATTTCTTTGCTAGTTATTAATTGTTAACTTGTTTTCTATAATTATTGACTGTTATTTTTTGTGATTTCTTGTTAACTAGTTTTTTTTGCTAATTATTAATTGTTAGCTTAATTTTTGTTAGTTATCCTTTGTTAATTTGTTTTTTATGCATTTGCTTTTTATATATTTATTTTTTTAGTTATCCTTTGTTAATTTGTTTATTAATTGCATAGCTTACTTTAATGATTAGCTCTTACAACATTTTTTTAAAATTGAGTGTCATATACAATTTAAACACTTCCATCTTATTTNTTCAGATTCTTTTTCATTATTTGAAATTTTTTTTTGTAGGAAAAAATATTAAATTGTTTTAAAATTTTAGGAATGTTTCTGTCGTTATATATATATATATAAACTTTACTCATAATAAAAAAAAAGCATTATAATTTTTATTGTATCATTTCTAATATTTGGTGGCACATTTTAAGAATTTGGCGGCGCACAAAAGTGCCGCGGCGCAGTGGTTGAGAATCACTGACATAAGACTTAGCACAAATGGCACGGAATCGTATTCTATTAAAAACTTACTTTTCTTGGAGATCAATGTTGGACTAATTATTTTGATCAAAATTATAAATTAAAAAAATTGCAGAAATGAATTGCGAAAATTTAAAAAACACTTGGGCTTAAATTTAAAATTTGAAGAATTTTTTGCGAAAATGTAAAGAACACAAGGCTTAAAATTTGGAGAAAAGTATATACAATTTTATAATCTCTTTTTACCTTTCAATTCAATTGGCAAATTAAAGAATGATAATAATTAACACGTTGTTGCTTTTAGAGGTAGGAAAATAAATCTTTTTCCTACAAATAGCAAAGAATTGTTGATAGGTACAAATAATTAGATTGCTTCAGTTTTAACTGATTTCGTTAAACCTATATGAAATTTCTGTAAAAGTATTAATTAAACTACTGCTATAAATAATTACAAGATGAGTGGATTTTTATAAAAACTATACACTCAAAAAAGCTCCAATCTAAATTTTTTTTAAACAAACTTCCTTCATTTTACACGAAGTTTTACATATTATCTATAAAAAAATACATTACGTCTTCATTTATATTTATAAGTTGAACTAAAAAAGCAATATGCGTAGAACTGACGTTCAACTTAATTAAAAACATGGATTTTCGTTTCCTTTTTTATGAGAATTCTTGTCAGATGAAAGTAAAGAAGAGAAGCAAAATCCCAACGAGTTTGCATCAGTGCGAAAACAAATTTAATCAGCTCTTAGCATCTCTAATCTAGCTGAAAATTTACTGCTTAAACGACAAACTCAAATCAGAATTTTAAATTCAAATTAACTAATTTTATTTTTTAACTTTATAAATAAAATTTACAAGTGTAGCATAGCTATGACTAAATAATGTGCGGCTCTTATAAAATTCAGACGAAATGGTTTGATATGTAGATTTCAGGATATAACATCGGATGAACAAAATTTAAGTTTTTAAACGAGTTTATTTGTTTATTAAAATAAAATAGTTTAAAAAAGTAAATTTACATTACAAAAATTAATGTCACCTTTCCGAAAAATATTGCCATGTTTCAAATTTTCAGAAATCTACAAAACTTTATAGTTACTCACTATAGCCTTTCCATTTCAAATCATTAGAAATATCGATGTTTAAATTTGAATAAAAAAAATTAATGGACATTTTAGAATTTATTAAGCTTTGAGTTTTTATAAACCCTTTGATCTTTTTTTCAACACTTTGAGCAACTCTTTTAAATGCTCAAATTTTTAATGCTCAAATTACAAGCCAAAGTAAATATGTATATATATATATATATTTTTTTTAATCATAAAGAACAGTTGAATAGTTACTAAAAATGTTTGATTATCGAAATTACGTTTATACTAAAATCTGAAAAAGGTAGTTTGAATTTTTTTAAATTCATAATTGATTTCGAAAATCAAAAAAAACAAAACAATTAATGATAAATAACTGCTTCTCTTATCTAAATAAGTGCAAATTCTAATTATTGCTTAGAAATGAGCCGTGTTTGAAAAATTTCACCTTTAACCCAGAAAAAGAAACTGGTATTTCAAATCATATTTCATTTCATAAATTATTATGCTAAGTATAATATTTTGCACTTATTTTAACTTTAAATTAAAAGAAAATGTTAAAAAAAGTATGTTTGCTTAAAATTCTGCGTCAAAGGGTGAAAGGTTAGAATTTTGAAAAATAAATTAGGGAACTCGCTTCGGAGCGGGGGCGCAAGCAGTTATACTATGCATATTAAATAACCATAGCAACTGTAACCTATAACTACAATACTCTATTATTTCAATCACTTCATCATTAGCGTCAATAATTGTTTTTTAATTTTTTTACTGTCCAATATAACGGATAAGTACCTTATTTCATCCGCTATCATCTTTTTAGCATTAAAAAGTAGAGACAATTATAAAAAATACAAAATTTTTTTTGTTTCCTATTGTATACTTACAGAATAACCAGTTTCGATAGGTTTTTGAAAGCATAATCTGGAACACTATGGATTTTATTTTCGCCCAGGTCTCTGAAAATACAAAGCCATTATATAAAATAAATCGAAAAATACGGTCACTAATTATTTTATAACAATGTTCCGTATTCATGTATTTGATGTTCATATTCCGTTTTTCATGTATCACGGTCACAACCATTTAAGAGAATTTACATCGAGCGTGCTTCAATCATAGCTCAAAAACTATTAGATTAAATAATAGAAAATTTCATAATTTTCTAGGGAAATATTTAAAGAGCATTTTGATATCAGAATCTTATTGATGTGGTTATTACTTTCTGTGTTAATCTAAGTTGAAGTCAGAGATTCCTCTTTTGAGCTGCGTAATTTAGTTTAACGAAAGCTATTAGTAGGGTAATTGTAATTTTTTTTAATGCCGCGTACTCATATCTGTAAATGAGAAAAAAATTTCATTTTAAGTAAAAAATCCTAGGAAACTAAAGTGGTAATATATTACCTGATAGAAAACTTCATACGCTAAGAAAATATACGATAATAAAATAACAGTCGATATGTTTCGAGCGCATAAAAAATTGGAGCCCATTTTCTAGACGTAACAAACGTAAATGTAACGAAACAAAAATGATTTAAAATAACATGTCGACTGTCATTTCAATTTTGTATATTTTTGAAGTGTATGGTGTTTTCTTTCAGGTATTAGTTTAACTTTGCATAAATTTTAAATTAGTTTAGGAGTAATTAAATAGATTATATTGACGGTATTTCGGAATTTTGTGGTATAAAGAAAAAACCTAATAGAAGTAAAGTTATAACTTTCTACAAGCGCATACTCTTATGACTGAAGTTAAAATAACTTTTGATCCTTTTTCAAATTTTGAATTAATTTCATATTTATTAAATTTTAAAGTTTTGATGTTTGTTTTGATATAATTTCAAGTTTTTCCTTCTCTTTTTTGGACAGAATCAAAGCTAAAAATTCTACAATCAAAATATATTTTAGGATAATTTTACTTAGGGCGCTTGATGTTAATATTTATATAAAGTAATATCGAGAGTTCTTCAATTAATTTTTTTTTTTGCTTTCGATTACTATGAATTCTTTTTCCTTCTTACTCATGCGTGTGACGTCAGATTATCTTTCTTCCCTCCTCCTTATTTTCATTTATAGATTTAAATCTGCAAAATTCAAATTTTTCAACACTATGGGAATTTTCTATTCAGGACATAGTTCAAAATAGTGTGTGTTTAAGAGAGATGATATGGCTCAAAATGCCGTGTATTTAAGGAAACTGACATAGCTATTTAAGAAAATGAACACGGCTCAAAATGCTGTGCGTTTAAGAAAATTGACATAGCTATTTAAGAAAATGGACACGGCTAAAAATGCTGCGCGGTTAAGAAAATGGCCATAGCATTTGATCCCGTTTTACAAACTTCTTACTTCTCTTAAAAATTTTTAATTTTATTTATTTTTAAGGAAGAAACTAATGAAGTTAATAACGTAATATGATGTCATTCATTCGACAAAACACTCAGCATATTTTTTTATTTAGAATTTTTTAAAATGATATCAAAAATCAACAGTTCTTGTCAAGGTTGTTACTGGTTCTATAAATTTATAATAGTTGTATTAAATTAACGTTGAGCGAATTTGGATTTTTTAAAACCACTTTATCATTTAGTGTTCTGAATATGGAGAGATCCTGGAGGAGCTACATCTGTAATATTCCCAGTAACCTCCTAGACCCCGAAAGCTTGGACTTTGCCGCGTAATGTTTAAAAGTGTTACGAAAAGTAAGTACAGAATTCCTAGTTTAGTTGTTACATTTGAGTTAAACATTGAAAACACTAATAATTTTTTTTTGCTGCGTCTACTTTTTTAAACACGCATTTCGAGCTATGTTCATTCGTATAAACATGCGTTCCAAACTATGTGTAGAATAAAAAGCTCATTGACGATATGTCAGGCAAAAAATTTTTTTCTTTCAGGATGAATTTGATAATTTAATCATATTTTTAAGCGAGAAAAAGTTAAACGTTTTAAGGTTAAATTTGAATTTTTATTATTTGAATTTATTTAATTTTTAATATTATTTCCCAGGGGTTACGTTTAAAAATGTAAACTTATTTATTTTTGGGGGAAATATTAAAGAATAAATCAGTGAAAAAGAAATTGAAATATTGATTTTTCGACTTGAATTTCTATTTTCGGTATCTAAACACATACGTGCAATTATAGGTTTATTAAAAAAATTGTTAAGAAATACATAATATTTCAATTATAGAATAGGTAAGATTAGCGATCTTAAAAAAACTGCTCAAGTACTTCCAAGGGTTGGCGAGCGTTACAAAGGCATTGCAAAAATTAATATTGTAAAATATTGCCAAAACTGATGAACAACACTGATTATTCCCACCGCTGCTAAGGTTTCGTTTTGAGCCATTGTGGTTTTGAGGATAGAGCGTTCGCCTCCCAATGTGGTGACCCGGATTCAAATCTCAGCGATTGCTGGTGAATACGAATTCCGTACCTAGCTCGCACTTACCACACTGCTGACGAAAAAAAATCCTCAGTGGTTGACGGATCATGGGTTAGAATCCCCTGCTCGTCAAGCTAACCGTGAGAGGGTTTCGTGGTTTTCCTCTACATGAAATACAAATGCAAATTAGTTCCATCAAAAGTCCTCCACGAAGGTCAATTTCCACCTATACATGATCCAGGAGTTCCATTGTTTTCTAGATTGAGTTCAAAATTACAAGCATGGAGTTAAACATTTATAGTTGTGAACCCAAAATTGGGTCAACAGCGGTAATAAAATGACAAGAACTGAAACCTTTATAGATTAAAACTTCTAGACTTTGCTTAAAATCAGGAAAAAAAGAAAGCAAAAAAATTAGATTGAACATTAGTGATAAAATATTTTTTATAAATGCTTTGATGTCTTTTTATGCCTCACAGTCCTATACTTGCTTTACGGATTTTCAATAGTCTTACACAAAATTTTCCATGCATTAACAATTGCCAAATATCTTCAAATGAGATAGATACAGAACAGTCCATGAAATGCCTTCAGAGAATTGGTTTTAAAATAAAAAAATTAAAAACTTACAAAGCTTCCAATTCTGGAAGCTGATCAAGAGCTCGGGAAGGGATGACTTGTAGCTGATTTCCGTTCAACCACAATTTCTGCAATTTCACTAATGAAACCAAACTCCCTTGGGGTACATCCACCAATTGGTTGACATCCAAATGCCTGTTGGAAAATGACATCTGTTAAAAAGACAACAAAACATGCCAAAAGAAAACAACCAGAGTGATTTACATTTGAAATGTCTGTTCTCATGTTTTATGTATACATTCTGTGTTCTACTTTAAAAAAAAATAAAATCTGAGTATGTGATGCCTTTATGATGTGATTTGGAATTCAAAGCTATTTGTTAGGCAACGTATAATACTAGATATTGTAAACGTTCCTGACAGAGATATAATCTTTGGTATTTTGTGGTGGCAACAGTGCTGTTGTTTGTTGGAAATTGATGGCGACGTTCTACTTTAAACTTGGCGATTTTCGTTGAATGCTATTTTGAAAATTAACATTGGACAGGCAGATTAGAAAAGAAAAGCATCAATTTATTTAAAGTGACTTGGATTTTTTTCGTAATAGCGTTAAAAAATTATAAGGTTAAAAACTCGTTGCTGGTACTTAATGTTAGTACTCTTAATGTACCTACTTAAGTTAGTATTTACTTACTGTATTATTGTTTGTATTTGAGTTAGAATAAATTTTACGTTTATTAAATAATTAAGTTAAAATGGGTACTTCAAACCTATGAGTACAAAAAAAGTATATCAAATATTTTTAATTCACAATTTTAAGACTTGAAAATGAAATTCTGAAATGTAATTTTTTAGATCTGTTCAAAAAGTGTTTTAGGTACTGAGTTCTGGCATTTTCTTAAAAAACATTTTAAGTTTAAATGAAAAGTATAAATTACAAATTTTTTCCTGGTTTAAACTAAATACAGGGCTATTCAAAATTCTCTTCGGGGTTTCGAAGCGTTATAGTAAAAAAAACGAAGACGAATATGGCAAAAAAGAACATATGACATTATTCCGAAAGTTTTCAAGTTTTAATTTAAGCAGTTGCCGGTAGATGGCAGTAACATGTACCACTGAAGCCAGTTGTAGTAAAGAAAAATGGCGTTTGCAGGCGAAGGGAATTATGAATAACCCTGTATGTAGCAAAAATTATTTAGACTTTATTATTTAATAAAAATAATAAAAATAAGTGTACATAATATCAGATTTTAATAAAATATTTTAAAGTATCTGCCTACTTCAAAGCTTTAAAAATATTTAAAAAAATCACGTAAATCTTTAGATTTAGATGAGAGAAACTAATAATGCACGTATATAAGAGTTAAAAAAGGAATATCAAAAATCATGGATGTCCTTTCACAAATAATTTCGCTACAGTTTAATAATAAGTACAACAAATTGTCGTACATTTTCGGTTTAAATATCTTTTATACTTTTCGATTTGAAAAATGAAACATAAATAAAAAACGCAATTTTTTAATTATTTCATTCATGAGATCGAAAGCTTTGAAATACTAAAAACAGTATGAAAGGAAAAAGCTTTTTCAATTTACCTCAGCAGTAAATAAAAGAAAAAAATCAAAAACGTTTAAATTTTGTATGCTATCAGAAAATTTTCAAATACAACTTTCCATAGAATATCTAAGCATTTTGTAGAATATCGAAAACTGATCAACTAAGTATGCAATGATTAAACATTTCGTTCATTGCCAAGGCATTTTATAGAATGACACATGAAAAACCGGCTAAGACATAATGAAACGGCAAAGTATAATGACAAATCGGCATATTTCAAACATCCTATGAAATATCGGCGTATCATACATTATTGAAATCTTGAATAGTAGACTTTCTTAATGGCAGTCTATCTTTATTTTTCAAAATAACACTTGTAATTTTGACTAATGAACGATCGTTAATTAATAGCCGTATTTTGACTTTTTTTCTGACGTTATGAAAAAAGCATTTGTCATTTTAATCTGAGAAAAAAGCATGGTCAAAACTACCAAAATATGATAAAATTTACCGTGTTTCTTGCTGTATGAGAACATCAAAAAGCTTAAATACTTTGATTGTGATTTTGGTAAAATGAACAATAGAACACAATTTTATAATATGTGATTATACTTGGTTGATGTGATTAAATTTGGGGATTTTATTGTCACAGCATGGCATTTAAAAATTATTTATTTGCTTAAATTTACATTTTAGTTTCGTATTTTTCTCTATTATCAGTTTATTAGTATTTCTACTATTTATTAGCTTTGTGCTTTTTGTATTTTTCGTGATAACGCAAATATTCAGTTAACCATCACCATATGAACAAAAAAATTACCCAATAAATGGTTAAAATACCGTAAATTTTGGTTTTTATTACCAGTGTGATGTTTTTTTCCCCAGAAATGTCATTACCATACAGTACAGCAATTTTACTAGAATTTTCTTCTCCGTGTATAAAATGTTTAGGTTTTATATATACGGCATAGGTTAAATTTATAATTCTCATATTACATATACTAAAAACGCAAGGAATTTTTAAAAACACCGGCATGTTATGCATACGTAATATTGATAGTAGCAATAATGACCAAAAACTATAATAGTTAAAGTTTATGCGTAATATTGATGGTCTATAATAGTTAGAAGAATAATTTGAATAATGTAATAGAAGAATAATTTGAATTTAATAGAATAATTTGAAGATCATTCTTGAGACAAAAGTTTTTAATAATTTTCTTACTTTTATCCAGCATGTAGAGAATTTTTTAATTGAATGCTATAGTGGAAAATTAAATAATGAAAATATTTTACTTATAAAAATATTCATTATCTTTGAAAAAATTTGAAAAGCAAATTTCAATCAGAATCAAAATAATCCTTAGTTTTAGATATTCATTTTAAAGTAAAGAATAAAAAAACATTTAAGTACATGGATAAAACAAAAAATTACTTTCTTTTTCTTCTATAAAGTAATATGAAAAAAAAAACTTTTCAGTTTAGAAAACTTTTCTTATTCAAGACACTTTTTTTCGCTTAATTCTGGCTTGATAAATTACGTCATTAATAATAAAAAACAACAGTAATACTTTCTTTTAAAAAAGAATTAATTGCAGTTCGTTAATTTAACAGTCACGCTTTTTTCTGATTCTTCTTTAAAAAAAGTGTTCCAAAAGATTAATGAAAGAAAAATCAAATCAAATCAGTAAACGTTTGCTGATAAAACGATTAAAAAACTTTTTTAAGAACTAAAATTAAATTAAGAGATCATATTTCATTTTGATAACGAAATATTTAAAGTAGTTAAATGGTTTTTAAGTAAAATATAATTCTAAATTGCTTGAAATTGAATCCCCCCCCCTCCCAATGAAATAGCTTCAAAGTATTTTTAAACAGTGATAATGGCAATTTTGAGTTAAAATTTACACAAAAGTAGAAAGTTTTTCTAACAAAATATTTTCTTTATTTTTTTTCCTTTTTTTTTCTTCTTACGTTTCAATTTTGTATTCGATATAAGTTTCATGCAATGATTTTAAAATATTGCTAAGGATTCTTTTCTTAAGGCAATCATTTCAAAATATTTCTATGTTGTTCCTGTACTTCAAACAAATTATTTTTCGAAAGAAATTCCATAAAACTAGTTAAAATCAGTTTTATTTTTACTCAAACATAATTGAAAGGAAACAAAAATTGGTTCATGTGTCGTTCGAAATCTCCAATGCTCTAAGTAAATAAAATATGCATATTTTCTGTTAAAATTAGAAATGCAACGGATGATTTTTGCAATTATCATCTTTTAATTATGGTTATCTTATTAAGTCTCATGGTTAAATATTTTGATACTATTCTATAGGGTTTATCAATAGAAATGTCAATTTAAAAATTAAACCAAACAATTAATACAAATTTTTAACAAATTTTATATCATTTTAAGTAAGAAAATTTGTTCAGTTTTCATTTCAAAGGTCTTGTGTCCCCCAAAGACAGACGTGCTAAATATTTGAAAACAAATGACTTCGTCATGAAGAATACTGGAAAATAATAAGCAGCAATTATAACCCTCATAGTTACTTTAAATGGGAAAATAGCGTGACCTTTTGTTAAAAAAAAAAGCAATGTTTCAGAATTTTGAAAGAATACAGCTGATAATTGGGTTTATTCCGCTTTACTAGCAAACTAAAATAGTTAAGTGTTTTTTGATTAAAATATGTCTATATATGGCATGTTATTTTGTCATTTACCATGATAGATAGCCTTCCCTTTATTTGAAATATGTTGAAAGATTTTTTCTAAAGACTATATGTAAGTAAGAACTATAATTGAGCAGTCGAGATAAGAATATAATAAAGAAATTATGAATAAAAAACTTTAAAAAAATATTACGTAGGCTTTATAAGTTTTTCATTGAAATTAAAAGGATTTAGTAATAAGTTATTAAAATTTCAGAAAGAGAGCCTGTTGAATATTGTAACTGTTTAAGAACTTAGGTACTAAACATATGTTGGTACTAAACATATGTTGCTTTGTATACTTTTTTGAACACTGAAGTTCCGAAAACTTTTCACTGTAGAAAATTCTAAACCTGTGCATTTCAATATTAATTTGAAATTGCAAACAGTTCACATATTTTTCTTAATTACACTATTCTAAATTTCAGTTGTTGGGAAAAGTGACTGTTGTAAGTTTTGTTTTAAAGTCTTTCCCACCAGAGGGCTAAAACCATGTGTTGTAAAACAATATGAAATAGTACTGAACGCCGGATATAAAGCATCGGCTTCGATGAAGATAATTTTGTGAGAAATTTTTTGATAATTCGAAGAGAATTCACCCGATTAGACATATGATTCTCACTACTTGCTCTTGCGTGCCGAAGCCCATCAATTAAAAATGAAAACTGTTTCCAACGCGAGAAAAGAAATATCATCGATTTTATTGATACATACGTACTAGCGTTTTATATAATATAGATAGATGATAAATCGTAACGAATGTAAATAGTGTGAACTATTTGACACGGAGAAAAAAAATTCTGGTAAAATTACCGAACTGTATGATAATAACATTTCCTGCCATTTCTGGTAAAAAAAACCTAAACATGATTAATAAAAACAAACTATACAGTACTTAAACTATTCATTTGGTGATTTTTCCTCTTATATGGTAACGATTTACCGGAAATTCTGATTCTTAAAATTATAGTTCCTACTATACTATACAGGGTGTCTCAGTTAAGCGTTTCAGAACTTCTAAGAGGGGTAGGGGGCATCCTGACGACTCGAAATCATATAGCAATGTGGGGTCGGAAATGCTTTCCTGAAGCGGTGACGTACACAGAAGCACCATAAAGAAAAGAGACCGTAAGTGAAAAATCGCCATAATAATACATTGAAAAAATTATATTGCACATGGGCCAAAGTAAGTATTCGAAGTTTCTGCCACCGGCTACAATGTACACCTCACATCTCCGGCGCATGAACATTCGAACATTCTGCAATACTCCAGGCATATCTCGCAGGCAGCTACTGCGATTCTTGCAACCAGCATTATCAACAGGGGTGTCATAAACCAGTGTTTTCATATGACTCCAGAAATCAAGACATGATAGGTCGGGTGACCGAGGAGGCCATATAATTTTTTCAATGTATTATTATAGCGATTTTTCACTTACGGTCTCTTTTCTTTAGGGTGCTCCTGTGTACGTCATTGCTTCAGGAAAGCATTTCCGACCCCACATTGCTATAGGATTTCGAGTCGTCAGGATGCCCCCTACCCCTCTTAGAAGTTCTGAAACGCTTAACTGAGACACCCTGTATATAGGAAAAAATACAAAACTGAAGAATAAATTTATATGAATAAGTGTGTTTTATGTCTTGCCCTAAGTTATCATGATTAAATTGCTAAATTTTACCCTCTTTACAAATAATTATAACATATTATAAAACGATATTTTTTTGTTAATTTTACCCGAAAATTACTATCACCAAAGCACTTCGGTTAAAATTACATAGCTTTTTGATGTTCTCTTTGAGTCACAAACACCATAAATTTTACCATATTCTAGTAGTCTTGACCATATTTTTTTCTCAGTATATATTTTTAATTTATTCAATCTATTTTATATTTATACTGAAAATTAGGGCAACGAAAAATCTTCTTCTAGCATTATTTATGTTTTAGAATGAAAATATCTCTAACAAAAAAGGAAATTCTTTAAATTGTTTGTTATCGAAATATTTGTTAACAGTGTGAAGCTAATAAATTAAATTAAAATAACATATACTAAACTGTAGGAAAAAATATTTCAAAAAATTCAGCCAGTTGTAATGCAATCTAAGTCACAAACACTAGTTACAATAAGCGTTATGATCCAATAACAATATTAATCATTTTTTTTAAAAAAAATATTGTTGTAGCTGCTTGCTGTTCAAAACTTTGCAGAGAAAGAAGCAAATTTGACTACATTTTTTAAAAAAAGGTCCTTATTTTTATGAAATAATGTAATGACGTCATTCAAATTTATATAATTCATAAGAAAAATGCAAATATTGTGTTCACTAAAGACAAACAGTCTGAACGTTACTGAAAAATAAGGTTAATATAATTACACAACGAAGTGATTTTTTAATGAAAATTAAAAAAATAACTAAAATAATTTTGAAACGTTATGTCATACGTAGTTTATCTTTTAAAAGTATTCCTAATGTGATGCTGCAAAATTTATTAGTTGAATACGGTGTATAAAAGAATAAGGAAAAATTGTAAGCATGAACAAAACATTAATATTAAAAAAGTACTAAGGATAAAATACTCAAAACCCCACAAAAATAAAACAGTAAAGTATTAAATAAGGTAGCTAACAAAAAATATGCATAACTATTAAAATTTAAGCTAGAAAATAAATCTAATTAAATAGTAAAAATGTATTTAAGTACAACAAGATTTAAATAAAGAAATTAATAAATTCTTACAGTGCCTCCAAATTGGTTAAGGGCTGCAAAGCTTCGGTTGGGATATTTCCTAATTTATTGTGTTGAAGTGATCTGAAAAGAGTTAAAATTATTAAACCAATTATAATAATAGACATCGGATAAAAAATATGAAGCAAGTGAAGTTAGAGGTATTAACTTACAATGAACGGAGTTTGTTGAGTCCGAAAAATGCTCCAGGTGATACATGGGAGATATTATTGTGCGCTAAGTTTCTGCAGAGATGAAATAAACTAAGTGAGCTTTATATCTTTGAAAAATATATTAAGGTTTATACAGATATATATATATATATATATATAAATCTTACTTTCAAAAATTTAATATTTTATTATATATTTTTGCATATTTTTATGACTTATGCAGCGCTGAAGTAATGTTATTTCTTAAAAACTGGCTGTTTTTCACATAAACGTTTAATGAAATTTAGCATAGAATAGAAATCGCTGTTTAAAAATAAACGAAACTTAAATTGACACTCATGAATAACTGTTAAAAACGCACAACAGTTAGAAAAATAACAGATCATTTACTAAAAATCTTTATTTCATAGGGTGACTGAGATTCCGAAGAACAGTCTTTAAGTAAATAATTTTCTTTTTATTCTTTTTACAAAAATTCGTAAATTTCCATCGTTTTTCTTATTTTTTTAATGTAGAGTTGCATTAANTATATATATATATATATATATATATATATATATATATATCTTCAATTATTTCACTTCCAATAAACAAAGAGAATACTAGATACTAGAATATCAATGAAATTACAAGTTTTACACAAACTTAAGTCTATCATACACTGTAAAAAGTTTTGATTTAAATATCCTATAAAGTACCCACACTTTGGGTGCATCAATCGTAAAATCCATTTTACAGTAAAATCCATTTATACGATACAATATTATACAGTAATTTTTACAGTTATGCTTATTTAATTTGAGTGATTCAGTGATGTCACTGTAATTATAGCTGTAAAAATTACGGTATATTAAAATTTTTGTTCCGGTAAAAAAAGATTTTACTGTAAAAATTACCGGCACCTTGAGTGACTGTACTTTTTACCCTAATTTGATTTGGAAATTTTTATTGTGTAGCTTCTTAAAGTTTCGCGAATACATTAAATTGATTTTTAACCTATTTATTTTGCCTAACATTTATTTTGTATGAGTGTGACACTGTAAAAAATTCCTGTAAAAAGTATCAGGTGTATCATCCGTAAAATTCATTTTTTACCGTAAAACATTACACAGTAATTTTTTAGGTTGAAATTTACTTAATTTAAATGGTTTATTGATTTGACAGTTATTATTACTGTAAAAGTTACAGAAAATCGGACATGTTACGGTAAAAAATACCGTCACCCCTGAATGCCGGTACTTCTTACCGTTATTTGATCTAGAATTTTGTACAGTGGAGTGCATAACGAAAACTGTATTATCCTTAATTAAAGATTATATATGTATGACAAGTTTTATAGTGACTTTAAAATTTCTAAATACAGATTATCTAAATCAGTAAATGGTTGCTCTTAATTTATCGTTATATTCTAACAAGTTATGTCTAAAAATAGAATAGTTATATATAAAGCACCATAATTCATGCTGCTTGATTTTCATATAAAAATAATATTCAAAGGGTAATATTTTTCTATTGCGCTATAATTTCATTTGAAATATAATATGTACATTTTTGAATTTTTTGCAGTTTAACTATTAATGAAACTGAATAATGAAAAGTATTGTTTTACTTACATTTCCAATAAATTGGATAAATTCCGAAATGGTGATTCTCCAAGTTTCGTGATGTTGTTATCGCTGAGATACCTGTGGAAAAAAAGAAAAATTCAAACTGTGTTATTTAAATACAATAAGCAAAATATTAGAAATATAATATTTTCGTTTATAAAATTTGTTATTCCAGGAAAGACATAACATATTTTCTATAATCTAGTAATTAAATTTGTAATTAGTCTTTTATAGCTTTTCCCAATAAATTAAATATTTTTTCCAGTGATATATTTACTCTTAAATTAAATCTTTTACAGAAATAAATCAACTAAATCTTTTTCTGAGTGTAATTGCAAAATACTGATTTCTTGTCCAGATAAAGACATAATATAATAGCCAAATAATGGCGATTCTCAATGATTACCTTATGAATACTTGTTACCAAATTTTTAGCACCTTGAAAACGTTGCGAAAAATTTTGCAAATGTTCTAAATCAAATTTAAATATGATTTTCAATCTACACAACTAATTTTAGCAAAATTCAAGCTATGCATCTTTCAATCTGCACCAAATTCTAATCATAAGATTTAAAAAATAAAGAAAAGCATTTTTACAAATTAAATTCATTCAACATTTTTCTATTTTTCTGTAATGTGTTAAATAAAGCAGTTTTCAACGACAGTAATACATTTAAAGAAATAATATAGAATTAAAAAAATTCTAGTGTTGATGCATACCGATTTATGGATAATTTATTTTTTTACCCTGTTCCCAGAACGGCTAGTCAGCTAGTTATAAATTAGGCAAAGTAATCAAAAGACTAATAATAATTAAAATTAATGTATTTTTTAAAGAATTAGGTTTTTCAGTTTTTTTGACGTTAACAATCATTTAATGTAACTTCATCTTTTTGAAAAATCGTTAGATTTATTTAAAAACTTTAATACCAGATGCCACGCTAACACAATCGTCATCTTATTCATCATTATCCGAAATACATTATAAACATTCTTGTGTTTTATTTAAATACTGAATAGTTAAAACAATAACTACGTAGAAATAAAACAAGAAGAACAGACTAACAAGTTTGAGAGAATCATGACTGTTTCGGTTTTACAGAGAAGTACTATCATTAGTGCCTCTGTGGATGGTACTTGTTTTCCAAAATAGTTGTTTGTTTTCCCCTTTCGTAATTTTTACCTCGTTTTTTTAGCATCAACACACGATTTTTATACCCCCTTTGAATATATAATAATTTTGAACGACGCAGGATTATCAAAATATTAAATATGATGTTCTGAGTACAGGCAAATATTATAATGACAATAAAAAAAAAAAACCATTTAAAACTGTTTCTTTTAAGTAACATATTTTAGTACATATTATACACATTTTACAGTACATATTATTATACATTTAAATACATATTAAGTAACTTATATATTAATAATAGTACTTATTAAGTAACATATTATTACATATTTTATAAAGACTTTAATGGAAATCATTAATATTTGTAGATGTTTACTAGAAGGTAAGAAAAAATTAAAAGGAAATTAATGAACGCAGACAACATATCTGCGTGTTAAGTTCTATATCAAATTAAGTTTTCAAGAAACACCTCAGGACAAAAAAATGCTAGAATGTTTCAACATCTGTATGAGTTATTCATTAACAAAATTTTAAATATCTTTTTTAAATCTTAAAAGATAAAAACGATTGATCTGAAGCAGTGCCGCGTACAACTTGACAACGAATTGGACTGAAAAACTACTTAAAATATTAAGTGGTTCTTCAGTTTTAAGAAGTATTAGAGAATCTAAGTGGTTTTTGTATGGTTTCTGCTAAGTGATTTCTGCCTGACACTGAGACTTATTTTTAATCACCAGTTGTGATAATATTTTTAAGTTAATGCTGGCAGAAATTTCTTTTTTCGAGATACTACTTTAACGTTTAGAGGTTTGGCAGGTCACAATTTTTATACAGACAGTTACAAAATAAGGCATAGTGTGGGTTACAATCAAATAGAATTTAGTCTTATTCACGATAAAACTGTTGAAGTTTTCTAAGAATTCTGATACACTATTTACATTGCTAAAACAATTAAGGTTAGTCAAGTTTTCTAAATTTGACCATCAATTAAAAACTTCACTCTACTATCAAATCCTACATATTTCTTTTAATTGTTTAGATATTATAGTGGCAAATTTTTTGAAATTCAACTGTTTTAGATCAAAATTGAAATAGCAAAGAGTAACATTTGTTGCCATTTTAAATATTCAAGAAATTTTTTTTCACGAAAACGGTTGAAATTGTGTAATGGTGAAATGAAAGTAAATATTGTTAAAAGACGTTAATTATTATAAAGTTTTTTAGCAATATTGACTCAAGACTGAATTTTTAGACTTAAATTAGTTCTATTTTCAACTTCTTTTTTTTATACATAACAATAGATTGACTAGTAACACGGAGAAAAAGTTCCTGTTTTATTACCGTAATGTATAGTGATAACATTTCTGGTAAAAAGAAAAAAAACATGATTTTGTTTAATCAAGCCAAATTATACAGTAAACTATTTATTTGGTAATTTTTCCGTTCAGATGTTTTACCGAAAATTCTGGTTTTGAAAGTTATAGTTCTTATTACCACACTTATTACTTAGTAAAAATGCAAAAGTGAAAAGTAAATCTAAACGAAAAAAAAAGGCTTATGCCAAGTTCATAGATACCATGATAAAATCACCAAATTTTATCATACTTGCAAAATTTTATCACATATTATAAAACCATATATAATTGCTAATTTTACCAAAATCATTACCAAAGATCATTAGTAAAAGTGAACGAGCTTTTTGGTTTTCGCATAGAGTCAGAGACACTGTAAGTTTTACCCTATTCTGGTATTTTTTTCCATACCTTTTCTTTCTGCAGTGAAGTTTAAAAACGTTTCCACATGGACAAAAACATTTTTAAAAAAATCTTATTTAAAAACTATACATCCAAATTAGATTATCTATTTTTCAAAATGAAAATAATCCTTCAAATTGTAATGAAAATAATATTCAAAATTTGTTTAAAATAGTTATTAGTAATCTTTTTGGCAAATTGATAAAAAAAAGTCCGCACTAGCTCCCTCTCTTCTAGATATTGTCATTGTATTAGTTGAGAAATAGTGAATTACTACACATGCTGATATTGTTCTTTTAAATTATATAACAAGAGTCAACTTACGTTAAATATGACGTTACTTTAATGCTCATAACTGCCTTTGTGCTGTTCATAACAAAACTAATAGAAAATAGTCATTTTAGGAAAAATAACGATAAATAAACTCCGTAACTATCTTAATTCCACCCTCCTTATTCTGCAACAACTATCCATTAACCCAAAACATGTTTTAAGAAAAATACAACTTCTTCGACTAAGTAATATACTTTTTTTTAAGGAACTAATAGTTCTTTTTAAACATTTTAAACTAATTTAAAGTTAGTATACATCTACGCTGATTATGACCTTTAACTACTTTTAAGCTGTTTTTGAAAACCATCATTATCTTGGTCCCCGAAAGTCGGACAAGTTACTAATAGAACACAAAACAATAAATTTAGTGTCATTCTACTTTTAAATTATAGTATGTAGTACCCTTCAGTATAATATGCTGAAACTTCCTTAACTTGTCTACCAACGGTACTCCAACCAAGCCAAGATAAATGGCAGCCATCTTTAGAAAACAGCACCATAAATTTCTTTACTACTTAATTTTTTCTTTCTTCATTGAATAGCCACTATCCAACTAACCTCCTGTTTTCTAAATACAGTGCTTCAGAACTAGGTGGTGAAGTTGTCGGAGGATTTTAACCTCCTCACGATAATCGATTCTTTTTCGTAAGAACTTTTTAAAGAGGAGGATTATAAATGAGTGCTCGTATTTTTTTATTATTTTATTTTATCGTCGTCCTTAGATGTTAGTTGATATCAAAATGATCTTGAGAAAAAGGTTCTTCTCCATTTTATCTCCGGCAAAAAATATTTATACGCCCATTTCTAGTGTTTAACGTATCAGGTTTTTTTCCTTTTTTCGGAGAAAATGTTTCTGTCGTTTTTTTTAGTTACAATATATATTAGTTTTCGTTGTTTAGTAATGCTTTTTATCTGTTAATATTAAAGTTTGTTTCAGATTCTTATCCACTAAGTAAAAAGTAGATTTTTCCAATACCAATTCAGGATATATATATATAGATATATAACGCATTTCATATAGCGCTACTTTTAATATATAGTTTTGGGATCATCATCAAAAATGGACAATACAACTTAGGTTGTAAAAGTCGAAATATCTTTTTAATGAGAAAAAAAAACAGAGTCAAACAAGCTAGCATTATGCAAATTTTAGCATATTCTTTTTTAAAAAAATGTGAAAGAAAAATATACTTTTACACTAATATATTGTATTAATGTTAACTATTTACGGTGAGCAGCGATATCTCAGAGGATAGAGCATTCGTCTTTTAATGAGGTGAATCGGGTTCGAATCCCAACGATGGGTGGTCGATGCGTATTCCGGATCCGGCTTGCATCGAGCACACTGCTAAAGTGAAATATCCTCAGTGGTAGACGGATCATGGGTTAGAGTCCCCTTGCCGTCAGACTAACCATGGGAGAGTCTCGTGGTCTTCCTCTCCATGTAACACAAATGCAGATTAGTTCCCTCAAAAAGTCCACCACGAAGGCAAATTTACTACTGTACTTATTACTACTATACATATTTCAGTCAACTCCCTTGTCTTCTGGATTGCGTTCAAACTTGCAAGGGTACGGAGTTGAACATTAGTAGACGTAACCTAAAAATTGGGTAGGTTGTTCAACGACGGTTATAAAATATAAAATTGGTTGCTATAAACGCTGCAGGATTTGAATAAGTTTTTGGAGAATTTTAACTTCTGCAGGATTCCAAATTTACTCGGTATTAACTTTTTAAAAAGGAAGTTTAAATGAGAGCACTTTTTTATTTTACTTTAGCCGTTAGTTGTTGGTATGAAAATGGTCTAAAAATGATTATTGCTTTCATTTCAACAGAAAGTACTTTTTCAACCATT